GGAGCCGGACCGGACTGTGGCGTCGCGGAGGTCGTCGCTGCTGCGGCGGCTGCCGCTGGTGCCGCTGCTGTGGTCGAGGCTGGCCCTGGGCGCGCTCCCTTTCGTCCGCAGCCCGCGCGGGATTTTTCCGGACCTCTTGTCTGAGAAGCACTTGCTGGAGGTGGAGGACTTGCCCCTGTCCCTGATGAGGGGCGGAGCTCTGGGGCCGCTGTCGCTACCCCCGGACCTGCCGGACCTGAATCCCGAGTGCCGGGAGATGCTGCTGGACTTCGCCAACAGCAGCGCAGAGCTGACCGGGTGCCTGGTGCGCAGCGCTCGGCCCGTGCGCCTCTGCCAGACCTGCTACCCGCTCTTCCAACAGGTCGCCGGCAAGATGGACATCATCAGCCGCGCCGTAGGGGTGGGTAGAAGAGACACCCGGGCGCTGTGGCGGGGAGGGCTGGCAGAGGAAGAGGAGGTGGTGATGGTCAACTCTAGGGGTCTCCGTTTTTCCAGCGTCAGAAACGGGGGTTGGGCTGTTGTCTGTGTAGTTTGGGGCAGCAGTAAAAGGTGGCATATGGCGCTTTGGGGGTCGGTTTCTACCACTATAGGTGCTGTGCGGCATCCTCTTGTTAGGAATCAACACCTGTAAAGCCTGGAGTTCCCAGGAAGAATATTTTCCTGAAACCACAAGTGAAGTGGAGAAGCTGGTATTGGTTAGAAGGTTGAGCTTTGTAGCCAGAAATGTTCCGCCCCACTAATTTCTAGCAGTGTGACTTTGGGTTAATGATCTTTTCAGAACCTTAGTTTCCTCCCATGTAAAGTGGGAGGGGGGAACTAAAACCCCAAAACAAAAACCACCAGCTGCCTTGATGTGGCTTTCACAAGGGTTAAAAGAAATATGTTGGGGCATCCATGTCAGTGATGAAGATGGTGCGGAGTTAGTTGGGTCAGGAGTGCAGTTATACTCTGGGCAAGATGCATTCTCTCTGCCTGTTTTCTCATCTATAAAGTGGGGGATAAAAGGAAACTGACAGAAATAACTCTCTGTGTATGGGATTTAAAACTTTAAGGTATGCTAAATCTGCCCTCCATTTTCGATACCTTGAGAGCTCTTCTGCTCATTTGCTAGGTGCTGTGGGACCAGAAAAAGGAAGGCACAGTCCCTGCCCCATGTACTGTAGAGGGTATGGACTAGGAAAGGATTAGAGTTCAGGACTGGTGAGAGTCATGAGGATGACAAAGGAAAAACATGTGCAATAATGTTGGGATTGGGGCATGTGAAAGTTCCTCCTGTAATGTGAAGACAGCACATAATCTAATGAAGATATGGTGGGAATTTCATAAATCATAGTTGATCTGAATATAAACTTGTATGTAATTGCATCTTGCTTTAAGTCAGTCTGCTATTCATAAGAAATCTATTATTTTGCACAAACAAGGGATTTGTTTGCATTATTTTTTTTTTTTTTGTACCAGGGATTGAACTTGGGACCTTATGCTTGCCAGGCAGGTGCAGCACCACTGAGCTAAATCCCTAGCCCTGCATTACTCATTTGGATTCATCTTTTAACGAGATGACAGTAAGAGGGTAATCTTTCCAAAATGAATGTCAGCAGTATTTTAAAGCACGAATTCTTTTAAGCCCCCCTGACTTCCTTTATCCCCTTGTGTGGCTGGTCAGTTCTTTCTCTGGAGATACTGCACTGATAGGCATCACAGTATATAACTTCTGGTCAGTCTGTCTGCAGGGAGGCTGTTGAAGCGCCGTTGTTGATGGCACTCTTATATTTTATGGGTGGATATACGTGGGAGTTTTCATCTGCAAAACTCCAGGATTTTTTAAGTAGCCATCCAGTAGCTTTGAAAGAATGAAGGACCTGCAGGATTTAGTTCTTCACTTGAGGCACAAGGGAAAGGAAATAGATGATTAAGTCGGCATGTGGCTTCATCTGCCTAAAACACTTGTATTTTTAAATCTCAGTACAAACTGTATGCTCACTGGATGTATCACTGATTTTCTTGTGGATTATAAGACTTTGAACCAGGAATTGCCCAAAAGATGAAACCGAATAATTTGTGATCATTTACCCAGCATTTAAAAATATATGTAAATGTTTTGCTGTAGAAAAATTTAGCATGAGAGAAGCAAAAGTGAAAATTAAAATTGTCGCATTTTCATTATCCAGAGACATCTGTTGCTGCATTTGGTGACTAGTGTAACAGAACTTTTCCTGTGCACAAAAAGATGGTGACACGCAGCCCATGCGCTGAGAGTTTTATTATGACAGCACATACTTCAGAAGCAAGATCTTCTTTTGCAAATGAACTTGATATCAACTACTAATTATTTACTATTATTTTTACCATTTTCACTTTTTAAACAAATTATCATTTTTACAGGTGTGATGCTACTGAGCTAAATTCCTGGCCTACGGTTTATAATTTTGTTTTATCTTATATAATTTTCATAACTTAGCATTATAATTACCACCATTGTTTAACACTTATTAATACCATCATTATCTGATTATAGCAAACAAAATCTTAAAACATTTCTAATGAATATGTTAATTATTCTTATAAAGTTATTACCCCAAGTTGTTGTTTGGAAATCTGAAAATACTCAGATTGTATTTTTCTATCTTCTTTTGTTGCAGAATACTTCAGAAAGTCAGAGTTGTGCCAGAAGTCTCTTAATGGCAGATAGAATGCACATAGTTGTACTTCTCTCTGAGTTTTTTAATACCACATGGCAGAAGGCAAATTGTGCAAGTAAGTAATTCATTTTCATGTTTCAATTATGATACAGTAGTATGGATATCAGGTATCATTTAGTGAATTTTAGAATCTCTGAAGCTAGGTGATTTTTTTGTTTGTTTGTTTTTTGTTTTTTGTTTTTTGAGACAGGGTCTCACTGTAGTTGAAACTGAACTGGAACTCACTACGTAGCACATTTTGGTTCCCAACTCACAGCGATCCTCCTGCCTCAGCTTCCTGAGTGCTGGGGTTATAGGCGTGTGCCACCATGCCCGACTGATACTTTTTATACTAAGTTCAAATGAACTGCCATTAGCACATAGGGTGCTAGAGGTAACTATTTGGGCAAATACTGAACATTCGAAGAGGGTAGCCATTAATAATAAGGAGCTTTGAAGTCAGACATGGATTTGATTTTAAGCTCTACTACTTATCACTTGTCAGATTTTGGGCAGATAACTTTGCCTCTTGTAACTTCAGTTTTCTTGTTTGTAAATTGGTGGTAATATTGGAACCTGTTTAAATGATTGTTTTAAAAATTAAGTGAAAGAAATTATAAAAAAGCATTCCGCTCACTCCCTGGCACATGTTTAAGAAATATTAACTTCAGTAATAGTTGCAACATTTATAATATGTCAAGTGGTGTATGAGGCTTTTACATCTATTTTACCAACTCTGTAGGTTTGTGTTTTTGTGTAACAAAATATGGTTTTGGTTTTTTTTTTTTTGGTACCAGGGATTGAACTTGGGTCCTTGCGCTTGCAAGGCAGGTCACCGAACCGCTGACCTAGCCCTTTTTTCGGTTTTTTGAGACAGGGTTTCACTATGTAGTTGAGACTGACCTGGAACTCATTATGTAGCCCAGGCTGATCTCAACTCACAGAGATCCTCCTGCCTCAGCCTCCCGCTAGGATTACAGGGGTGTACCACCACGCCCAGCTCAAATTCAGATATGTTCTGAATTCAGATGTATTGAATACTGCTAGGTATTCGTACCTTCCCACTTTTATAATTTAGTGAGGGAGAAAGATATACAGATATTACCAAAGGAAGGCCAGCAAATAAATGCTTTAATAAAATTATAGAATCATCTTACTAAATAATGATTTTAACTTAATCTTTACCTCATTATATGGAAGCGCTTCTAATAATGCTCTTTGTATTCCTATTTAATAAGGGTAATAGGAAAATTTTGTGAAAAATTCAAAGAGTTACTCAGATCATTTAAAAAACGACAAGATTTAACAAAACATTCTAACCTAAAGCATAGTCTCTTAGAATGTAGTGAGATACTGATGCTATAAGGAAAGGAATCCAAAGGAAGGAGAACATGGACGCTAACTAAGCAAGGTAAATAACAAATCAGCAACTCAATATAATTTCCCGTTACATTTTTTTCATAACCCTTGTCTAAATTTGAACTTCACAATAAGCCGAGTGAGAGATGAGGAGGATGAAAGGGTGTGAATAAACTGCAGATAGTCTATCACTGAATCCAAAAGTCTTTATGATTGTTCATCTGAGTAGACAGTTTTTTATAAGTTAATATCTGTATTTTTTTTATATGGTATGATTGATCCCAAGGCTCTGAGAATGCTAAGCACATGTTCTACCACTGAGCTTTTGTTTTTTAAACTGCCATTTGACAAATTAATTGCAGTCTCCCATTTTAAGAAATATAAAGACACTCTAATTAGACCCACTAAAGTTCAACTTTTTTTTTTGGATTGCATTCCAATAATTTTATTGAAAGGTGTATCTCTTAGTACCAAACATAATGGTAGTTGATTAGGTTACCTCTGCCAATTCAAAACTTATACTGATTTTTCAAAATATTGAAATATATCAGCCTTATGGTAAAACAGAAGGTATCCACAAACATGGTTTACAAAAAGGTAAAGGTAGAATATACTGTGGTTCTTTGGTTTGTTTTTCAAAGCTTATTTATCAGTGACATGTCAAAATTGGTTCCATCCATTCTGGATAGACTCAGGCTTCAGGCTAAAGTTCAACTTTTGTACTGCAGACATATTTCATATGGCAGAAAGCCTAATCTTTTACTAAAATTATGTTAACATGCTTTTTTTCCCCTTAAATATCAATTTTTTCCCCCACCAGTTCCAGGGATTGAACTCAGGACCTTGCACTTGCCAGGCAGGTGTGGTGCCACTGCGCTAAATCCCAGGCCCCCTAAATATCAATGAATACTGCATAATATGAAAGAAAAATTTTAAAGTAGAATTAATTTTACATTTTCTAATGTCAGTTTCCAGTAGTGATAAAGCATAAGTATCAAATGTCCCCAACCCTGCTTGCTCTCCGTCTCTCTCTTCCGAGGTTGAGCCTTCCATATTTGGGAAGCACTCTGCTGAGCAATATCCCCAGCAGCATCAGATTTCTCATGCAACTGCATTGATCCTTGATCAAAGCTGTTCATTTTGTTGGATCTTTGCTATCTTATTTTATTTTAAATAAATCAACTTCCTACCTATCTAGGTAGGAATCTGTCATTTTGTTTTAATCATGAGTCTTTCAAAAAGTGTAAAGGAATATAAAGTGTATTTGCTCTTTTAATAAAATGGAAGAAGACAATCAGGACATGCTAAAATTTTAAATTAATTGTGCCCAGTTAAAAGTTTGCGTACATGCCTCGCAAGCACAAGGTCCTGAGTTTGCTCTCTGGTACAAAAAAAAAAAAAAAAGTTTGCCTAGAGAAAAAAAAGTTTGCTTAGGATGCTGTCTTTTTATATGCATACAAAAGTAGTAGAGTAAGTATTCAAAAACAAATTTCTGGATTATTTGCCATCTGTTACCTTTTTCTAATGATCTTATTATTGAATTTGCAGATACACAGCTGATCTGATGACAACATTTGAGAGTTTTTAGTCTGGTACCTATAAGTAAAAATGGGCAAGAAAAAAAGTTACCAAAGAACAAAGATCAGTACCCCCCCACCCAGTACTGCTGATTAAACCCAGGGCTTCATCATGCTTGGAAAGTACTTAACCATTGAATTACATCCCCAGCCAATTTTACTTTATTTTAGTTTGGTTTAGTTTAGGACAGGATGTTACTAAGTTGCCCAGGTTGGCCTCAGACTTGGAATCCTCCCACTTCAGCCTCCTAACTAGCCTGGATTATAAGTGTGTACCACTGTACCTGGCAGAAAATATCTATTTCTCTTATGCTACTAAATGCAAAACTAATTATATAGGTAAAAATATTCTTCAATGAATTAAAAGGGCTACCTCAGTCTGTGTTGTTATGACAGAACGTCACAAATGAAGTAATTTATAAACAACAGAAATATATTTCCCACAGTTCTGGAGGCTGGACATCCAAGATCATGACACTAGCAGGTTCAGTGTCTGATGAAACTCTGTTCCTCAAAGGTGGCATTGTCTCTTCTGTCCTCACATGACAAAAGGGATACATGCTGTGTTTGCACATATGAGAAAAGTGGAAAAGCAAAAAAATGACAAAACTGCACGAGAAGCTGCTTTTGTGTGGGCCTTAATCCCATTCACAAGAGGGGAGCCCTCATGACCTAATCACCTCCAAAAACCCTTCCTTGTTGTGTCTTTTCAAATGTACTTCAGCTTTCACCTATTTGGTTTTTTCTTTTTTCAGTGAGATCAAAGCCAAGGCCTCATGCATACTAGGCAAGCACTGCATCTGTAGCCCCAGTACCAAAAAAAAAAAAATTTATATATATATACATATACACATACATATACATATATACATATACATATATATATATATGTATATGTATATATGTATGTGTATATGTATATATATATATATAGAGAGAGAGAGAGAGAGATAGATATAGATCTACAGATACAGATATCTATATATACCTATCTATCTCAGGTATTGTGGTACCTGTAGTGCTAATTTGGGAAGCTCAGGCAAGAAGATTGTTGGAGCCTAAGCCCTTGAGGCCAGACTGCACAACATAGACCCTTGCCTGAAAAAAAATATTTTCAACACATGAATTTGAGGGAATATATAGTCATGTGTGGCATAGTGACATTTCACTCAACAGCAGACTATGTATACAAAGTTGATCCTGTTAAATGATGACAGGTGAAAAATTCCTTGTACTGCTGTAGTGGTCCAGACATAACACACTACTCACTTTTTTGTGGTGATGGTGATGTAAACAACCAAACCTATTTTGCTGCCAGTCATATGAAAAGATAGTGCATATAATTGCATATTATAGTGCACAATACTTGATAGTAATGTAATTACTGTGTCATTGATAATTACTATATTTTCAGGCAGATCCCTCATGCTGCCTAGTGAAAGTATCATTATCTAGGGCAATAGTGGTGAACCTATTGCCTGCATGCCACAGGAGGCTGTTTGTTATCATTGAAAACTCTAAAAGGTTCACCATCACTGATCTAGGGGATGAGAGCTCCATGATTGCCATCATCCCTGAAGACCTTCCAGTGAGACAGTGTTAACAGTTTTTGACTCCAAACCAGAGTCTTTTCCCTCTCATAAGCATGGAACCCAGTAAATGAAACTCAGCTCTCATTGGTACCAAAGGAGACTTTTATTTTTGGCCAAATATAGGAGGAGTGAAAAATAAACTTGCAAATCAGTTTCTCAAACCTTAAAAGTTAGGGAAGTCAAAAGAAGTGAGGAACATGGATAGGCTAAATAAAGAGAAGAAATATTCATGATTTTTCTGGGAATGGGTAGAGATTTTCTGAGAATTTTAGTCCTTTTGATTCTCTCCAGTGGCCATCATGTCAGTGGAGATAGGAAATGTGTCATTTAGCGTGCAGATAGAATTAAAATGGAGTTGGAGGGCCAGGGATTTAACTCAGTGGCACCATGCCTGCCTGCAAGTGCAAGGTCCTGAGTTTGATCCCCTGCACTGAAAGAACAAACAAACTGGAGTTGGAGGTTACCTGATGGTCACTCTGGCAGCCATCTTAGATGCAACCAGTTTTGACTGGCTATTTGAAGAGAAGCTTCTGGCCTCCAGACATCCTGTTCTTAAGGAAGCAAGATCAGGGGCCTGGGAATTAGCTCAGTGGTGCCACTACCTGCCTTGCAAGTACAAGGTCCTGAGTTTAATCCCTGGTACCAAAAAAAAGAAACAAGATTAGGGTGAAGTAGAAGTTAAGTTAGGTCAATTTCTAGCCTACAGGCAATATACTGGGTAACAGATGTGCAGATGAAAGAGTCATAGTAATCAATCTGACCCTGTGTAGTCCTAGACTAATGTACACATTTGTGCCTTAGGTTTTAACAAAAGAAGTTAGAAAAAAGAAAAACAAAAGAAAAAAGCTTATAGGATAAGGCTATAAAGAAAGAAAAATAGGGCTAGGGACTTAGCTCAGTGACCCCATACCTGTTGCCCAAGTGCAAGGTCCTGAGTTTAATTCCAGGTACCACAAAAAAAAAAAAAAAAAAAAAAAGCTAGGGGTGTGGCTTAGTGGTGGAGTACTGCTCAGCATGCATATGCCCTTGGGTTCAATCTCCAGAAAACACATACACAAGCACAAAAGGAATGAAAAAACATTTTTAAAGGAAAGAGCATTTCTATCCAGCTGACTGATGTATCTGTAGTTTAAGCTAAAGGTAAATTACAGAAGAGACAAAAAGATAAAAAATTTAAAAGTTTATACAGCAAGCTAAGGATTGTTGTTTTTGTTGCTGTTGAAGAAAAAGTATTAAATATAGTACAGCCTTAGTGAACAGTATTTCCATAATCTATTACTGTAGTAATTGTCTTCATGTCCTCTGCCTTCACACTCACTAACCACTTAATACTGCTGACTTAGCCAGAGCAACTTACAGTCCTGCAGGCTCCATTCATGTGAGTGCCCTGTGCAGGTGTAGCTCCGTTTTCTGTCTATTATGCTATGTTTTTACTGTGCATTTTTAGTGTTTGGATGCTTTTTTACATAAATGCTTACTATTGTTTTATAATTGCCCACGGTAGCATGCTGTGTAGGCTTGTAGTCAAGGGGCAATAGGCTCTACCTTACTTCCCAGGTGTGTAGTAAGCTACTGTCTAGATTTGTGATGTGTCATGTCCACACACTGTAGTAAACACCTTAATGTAGCCCTATTGTTAAGTGATGTGTGACAATTTTCAAACCATTAGTGACACTTGGAATGTTTGTAAAGTATTATTTAAAAATATAAAATATTATTATAAGGAATATTATTAAAATTAATGCCCTACCAGGCTGGGGATTTAGCTCAATGGTTATACCACCACCTGCCTTGCAAGCACAAGGACCTGAGTTTGATCCCCAGCACCAAAAAACAAAAATGGTATGCTACCCAAAACCTTTCCATTCTGCTCGATGTAGCTTGAAAAGGGGTTGGCACCCTAGGAGTTGAATGGAGAAGAGAGTGCCATCCCTGTACCACTCCACTCCCTATTCTCTAGAATCCCCATGTCTTTGAAAGACACTAGTCTTTGTAGGAAATGAGCTCTTGGATGTTGATGGAAAGTCAGAAGTTTCAAGAGCCCAGTACTTCCTTCTCCCAGTACTCAAAATGAGAACTGTTTTCTTGTGGAGAATGACTGGTAAGAAGTAAAGGTTTTATCTCCTGTACAGGATTAAAGCCTGTTATCAGGAAGGTACTGTTGACATAGAGATGGCCTTGTTATTGAGACCCTTGTTGGTTATCTTGTGCATAGGACAGTCGAGTAGTAAGAGTGACCAAATTTGGTGAGACCATGGGCTGCTTTTTAAAAAAATGTTTTAGATCTTTGGTAAACAAGGCAGCATAGGGCTGAGGATTTAGCTTAGTGGTTTGCAGCCTGCTTTGCAAGTGCAAGGACCCAAGTTCTATCCCCGGTACCAAAAAAAAAAACCCTCCAAAATAAGGCAACATGAAGTACTACTGTAATAAGATAAGCCCCCAAATTAATGAGTTCAGATATTTGTTTTGTTCTTATCTACTGGAAACCCACTCTTTTTTTTTTTTTTTTTTTTTTTTGAGCAACCTGTATCTATAGGGAGCATAATGATGCTATTGAACTATTGTGCAATTCTGATGTACATTCTGATTCTTCAAAGGAAAATTAACTATATTTTGGGGGGTTTTTTTTGGTACCGGGGATTGAACTGAAAATTAACTTTAAATTGGCATATATAACTTATGCCTTGGTGATTGAAAAATCAACAGGAAAACTTACTGGTTGAATAGGTCAGTGAATCAGAATTCTTTCCCTTTTTTGGGGGGGCGGTACCAGGGATTTAACTTGGGTCCTTGCGCTTGCAAGGCAGGTCACCCGAACCACTGAGCTAAATCCCCAGCCCCTTCTTTCCCATTATTTGATGGAAATTTACTAAGTGTTAGAGTCATTTATTTGTATCAGATAATTTTAAATGTCTTAGTTTTCTTGTTAAGAAAATAACTTTTCTTGATTACAGAGTTCCCCAGTTTATTTTGTATTTTCTGAAACTTGACATGTGTTTCAGGAGTTGGTGATTGTGTTGTCTATAAAACTAATTTTGAAAACAGCCAACATCTTTAATATAAGCTCTTAATAGATGCCAAATACTATATTTAAAGGCACATAATTCCTGTTAGGGTGATTTAGTAGGTTTAGTATCTACGGTCCTAGCATGAGTCCTTACCACATTAAGAATGTCTCTTCAGCTGAAGATGGAGCCCTCGCTGAGACAGAAGCTATATTAATCTGTCCTCGATGAGGCATCATTGATTATCTGAGAAGAGGAATATTCATAATGACCACTTCACTTAGTGCTTATAGGAAGCCTTGTTATTACTAATAGTTGTTAAGATACCAAATTTTTTTTTTTTTTTTTTTTTACCGGGGATCGAACTCAGGTCCTTGTGCTTGCAAGGCAGGTGGTGGGACCACTGAGCTAAATCCCCGGCTAAGATACTAATTTATGAAATATATATCTCCCTACTGTTTTTAACCTTGTGCTCCCAATTTCTGCAAAAGGATAAGAAGAATTTACTGAACTTTGTTTATTTTGAATCAGAAAGTCAGGGCTCTTTAATAATGACATTTTTAACCCCATTATATACAGGAACTCCCTATGCCTTCTAACACCACCTCTCTAGCAGTTGCTGAAAAATATTTTAATGTTACAGCATTAATGCAGTACTTATCTAAAGGACCAGTTTACATTACCTTTTAATTCAATTTTCAAATTATTTTAAGCAAAAAGTAAATAACTACCTGAGTTCAAGCCTCAGGGCACCAGAAACAACAACAAATAGCAAAACAAAAAAAGTAAATGTCTGTCAGTAAAACAGAAAAGATTGAATCTTTTTGGTTTTCAGAATCTTTCCTTGTAAATTTCTTTTTTATAAATACTGTAATTTTAACTGTCTTGAATAGAAGAAATTTTTATTTTACTGTAATACAAGTAAATATTAATAAAGAATATATAAGAAGCACTCTGCTGTGAAAAATAAAACAAAATTTCATAACAATAACTAGAGAATAATAATAGTTAATACATTGTAGGTATAAAAATTACCCACTATTGAGGCTGGGATTTAGCTCAGTGGTTCCAGAGCCTGCCTTGCAAGAGCAAGGACCCAAGTTCGATCCCCAGTACCACCAAAAAAAAAAAAAAAATTACCCACTATTGAAGTTGGAAGAGACACAGAACTACTAGATTTGATACAAGGATAAAATGACATCATAATTTAGGTAAAATTAAGGTAGGATAAGCAGTCTTATAGCTAAACAGCAATATTAAAGCAACATTTAATAGCTGATGTTCATGATTAAGACCCTTTTCACCACTAAAGGGCAATTTAAAATTTGTTTGTTTGTTTGCAGCACTGTGAATTAAACCCAGGGCCTCACGCATGCTTGGCAAGTTCTTAGCAAGTCCTCAGTCCATTTTAAATTTTTCTTTTATTTTCAGATAGGATCTTATTAAGGTTGCCCAGGCTGATCTTGAATTTGTAATCCTTTTTTCTAAGCCTCATTGTCACTTTAAATTTTACTTGGTACTGGGTATGTGATTATTTTAAGATTTTCATGAAAATGGTTATCTCTCTCTCTCTCTTTTTTTTAACTGGAGAAAGAAATGTTTCAGTGTACTTGGAACACTTTAGGTGGAATACTTCATGTTTGTTGGAGTAAAGAATTTCTGTAGTGAAAAATAGAGGCGATAGCTTACAAACCAAATGACAACGTAGTGTAGCTAGCATGTACAAGGCCCTGACACCATAAAATAGCAATAACTGGATGATTGTTGCTGATAATACACACTTCTTTTTTTAACAGATTGTTTAACAAACAACAGTGAAGAATTATCAAACTCTACAGTATCTTTCCTCAGTCTGTTTAATCAAACCTTGTCCTGCTTTGAGAGTAACCTTCAGGTATTTTAAATATATTTGAAATGAAAATGCTATCTTGTACAAATGCATAATGTATTTCTGAGTTTTTATAGCATTAATTGATATTTGTGCATACTTGTGATGTAGAGGAATTAGTAGACCTGCATTTTCTTTTGAGTTCTAGTTACAAATCATTAAAACTTCAGTTCTCTCACTTAAAAGTAGGAATAGTAATATCTACTCTGTGTTCCTTCAGTATTTTGTAGTGAAGATCTGATAAGATAATGAATGTGGAAACATTAGCTGAGACATGTAGTTATCTAATTAAAACACAGTTATATACTTGAACTTTGTTTATGTAATAAAGTATTTTGCGATGCAGTGTGATTCTGTCTATGGGAAGCTTACTCTTTGCCTCAATATTTTAAGAATATATTTCATGTAATAAGAGAAGAAAATGAGAAAATGAAAAAATGGAAATAAAGTATTTGTAAATAGGGAAGGGAGGAGGGGGTGAAGGGAGGGCAGGGATAAGGGGAAAAAATGAGAATCAAAACCTATCATGTAAAGGTACAAGATCTCAATGATGAATGTAACTGTACTGTATACCTAAAATGTACCAACTCAATGAGAAAAAAAATAAAATATGTGTCCCCCCGCCACAGACACACACACACAAAAATATATATATATATATATTTCATGTACTCTAAAAGGCATTGTTTAGTAAAATAACTTTGAATATTGAATTATGATATCAGAGTAGTCTTTAAGGATCCTACCTTACAGATTTTTGTTTTCTCCTTCTCTGATCTTTGAATTTTGGCATTGGAACTTACCAGGAAATTTTTGGTTTCAGACTAGTGTTTTAAGAGATGTGTTTGAAGGAAATTAGCACTTTTCATGTGGTACGAGTTGCACATTTTTTCCTAGTTTTTTATTGTTTTTCTTTTGTCAAGAAAAAAATCTTAATTTTGTTAAATTCCTCCATTTTTAAAATGGCCTGTGCTATTTGTGACTCATTAAAAAGGCTTTTTTCACACAGTAATTCTAAAATTTGTTTTAGTACTTCTGTAGTTCCATTTTTTGCAGTTAAACATTTTTTTTTTTTTTTTTTTTTTTTGAACACACAAAAATATATATATATATATATTTCATGTACTCTAAAAGGCATTGTTTAGTAAAATAACTTTGAATATTGAATTATGATATCAGAGTAGTCTTTAAGGATCCTACCTTACAGATTTTTGTTTTCTCCTTCTCTGATCTTTGAATTTTGGCATTGGAACTTACCAGGAAATTTTTGGTTTCAGACTAGTGTTTTAAGAGATGTGTTTGAAGGAAATTAGCACTTTTCATGTGGTACGAGTTGCACATTTTTTCCTAGTTTTTTATTGTTTTTCTTTTGTCAAGAAAAAAATCTTAATTTTGTTAAATTCCTCCATTTTTAAAATGGCCTGTGCTATTTGTGACTCATTAAAAAGGCTTTTTTCACACAGTAATTCTAAAATTTGTTTTAGTACTTCTGTAGTTCCATTTTTTGCAGTTAAACATTTTTTTTTTTTTTTTTTTAATTTGAGACAGGATTTTGCTGTGTAGTCCAGGTTGGGTTTAAACTCACTATGTAGCCCAGGCTGGCCTCTAACTCATGGCAGTCTTCTTACCTCAGCCTCCCAAGTGTTGGGATTACAGGTTTGTACCACCATATCTGGCAATTTAAACTTTTTTTTTTTGGTACCTGGCATTGAACTCGAACCTTGTACTTGCAAGGCAGGCTGCAACATCATTGAGCTAAATCGCTATCCCTTAAACATGTTTTTATCTTAAAATTTTAAAGAAATATATTTGAATCTATAGTTCTCTTTCAGTTTGTAAGATTAAACAGTATCTACTTATTCTTTCCTAAATCAAGATAGAATTCCATATTCATAATTAATTGAAATAATCTGAAACCTTAAATCGAGATTTTTGTTAAATTAGGAGTATTATATCTAACGTATAAATTCCTTTTAAAAATTTTAAAATCTTTTTTTTTCCTTTCTTTTTTTTGTTTTTTTTATTTTTTGCAGAGCTAGGAAATTGAACTCAGGGCCTGCTGCATGCTAGGCAAGACTCTACCATTGAATTAATGTCTTTTCTCCATGCTATGGTAAAGAAGAAAGTAAATAGAAAGCAGAGTTATAATCTTGTTCTTAAGAAAACAGGAGTCAATCTAAAAGTAGAAAAAATTGAGATTGCTAATTTACTAATTTATATGTTATCTCTACCCATATTGTAGGCTAACCAATTCTTTTTGAAATATGTCCCTTTTTGTTGACTACAAAGGCCTGGATTCTGAGCCTGTGACAAGAATTTCATGGCACAGTTTTAGTGCCCTTTATCTTCTCATTATAAAAGTTCTGCCTTAATCATAATAATTTTGATGAAGTTAGCCCTGGCAAGGACATATTTTACTTATTCAGCAAGAGTAGAATAGAGAAGTGCAGACATGTTAATGATGAGATAACAAGAAATTTGTTATTTTCATATTGGTGGATTGTATTACCCTCATTTAACAATGGCTGGTGCAGTGGTTTTCAAAATTTAAGTACACCTAAGGAAGTGCCAAATGTTTTGCCATGGGCTTCACAGACCAGGCCTAGAATCCTTTGTGACTGTAGCACAGAGATCTTGCCCATCACACCTCAGCACATCAGCATACCATATTGTCACCTGTCCTGGGAGGGCAAATGCCAGTAGTTTACGTTACAGAGGTGTATATAGTGTTTATTCTTTGCATTACGTCTGCCTTTATCATTTTAGGGGAGCACACACAGTCTTCTACCACCCAGAAATTACTCAGAGGTATGCAAAAGCTGCTGTGAAAATTACAAAAATCTAAATAGTCTGTACAGTGAAATGCAAAAAATGAACGAACTTAAAAATAAGGCTGAACCTGGAACACATTTATGCATTGATGTGGAAGATGCAGTAAGTACTTTCCTCAGGAGATGAATATTTTACAATGTCGTTCAATGTACCCTTGGTGTTACCTCTTTCAGAGCTTCATTGAAGTCTGCATATGTTGTCTTCAATCAGAAACAGCTATGGTAGTTATAAAATTGTAAGGTTTTAGAATATTCTGTCCTACTAAATTGAATGGAAATTAATGAGGCACTTTATAAGGTGTGGGCATTGTGATATGTTTACATTTCAGTTTCTTGTACACTTGTTAAAGAAGTTTCTAGGGGGGCTGGGGATTTAGCTCAGTAGTTCTGCCACCTGCCTTGCAAGAGCAAGGACCCGGGTTCAATCCCCAGTGCCAAAAAAAAAAAAAGTTTCTAGTTTTGCTATAATGTGTTTCAGAATCTATTGTTCAGTCACTTTCTATCATATTATTTCTTTACATCTATTATAGTCTGACAGTATTCATTTATAGGATGGCTCCACTGACTAAAATGTAAGCCACATGAGGTGAAGGACCTAATCTTTTGTTTTCATCATTCAGTATGTAGGATAATGTCTGGAATATAGTGAGTTCTTAATAAATGTATTATCGATTGAATTGTCAACAAAAAACTTTTGTCTTTATAGCCTGCCTTTACATGGAACACCACCAGGTGGCGATCATGCCTTTTTAGGCCCTGATGCTGAGAATTGAGCAATTAGAGGAAACAAATAGTTTCAGAGTAGAGAATTAGAAATCAAATTAATAAGATTGCAAGTTGAGAATAATGAGCATGAGTTATAGCAGCTCAGAGAAACTGTAGTGGGACAGTAACGTTCAAGATGATAAAAGCACTTAAAATAGCTGTGCCATGGACTTTTGTTTTTATTGCTCTATTACTGTTACCTAGAATAGTATTTATTTTGTAGTAGGCTCTCAATAGGTAAGTAATATTTAAGGAAGAAAATAGAATCAACTACATTTCTACTCATGTAAGTTCTCTGTTTGAAAGCTATGAATGGTTGACATTCTGGAGTACTCTGGTCAGTATTTAAATGTAAACAGTGACTAATTATTAATAATCAGTGTATTTCCCTGGCAAAAGAAGTTGTCCTCAACCTTCAGTACATTTAGTTTAAATTCTGAGTGCCTGTTTGGACATTAACAAAATATTATAAGAAGACGAAGTCAAATAAAATACAAACTAGAATAATATCATTTGTTCTTCCCAGATGAACATTACTCGAAAACTCTGGAGTCGAACTTTCAACTGTTGGCACCCTCACAGTGACACAGTGCCTATAATTGCTGTTTCTGTGTTCATCCTCTTTCTCCCTGTTGTCTTCTACCTTAGCAGCTTTCTTCACTCAGAACAAAAGAAACGCAAACTCATTCTACGTAAGTTTTTTATAGTTATTCATTTGTTTAGATAACAGCCTGTATGTAAAAGATTTGAAGTATATTAGCCTAAAATGGATCTCTGCTTTACATTTTACAGTTATGCTTATAAATGGAAGAGATGTGTGAGAATTTTGTGTAAGCATAGATAACTAAAAATCAAAGGACAGCATCTTTCAGATGATTAACCAAATTAGACTAAGTCTAGATTTCCCCTAGAGTAAGGTTAGCAGCAGCAGAGGAACAGTGACAGGGCATTGTGGTCCTGGCATGGCAGTAGTAGACAGAGATGGAGACAGCTCTTTGGGGAGTCGCTGTAGAGCCACCTACAGTACAGGTGACAGAAGATATTATAGCTAACATGCCATTTGATTTTTTTTTCCTCAGTACTGGGAATTGAACCCAGGGCCTTCACACTGAGCTATATCCTGAGCTATTATAATTTTTTAAAATTTTGAGACAAAGTTTTGCTAAATTGTTAGGTTGTCCAGGCTTGGCTTGGACTTACAATCCTTCTGTCTCAGCCTCCTGTGTTCTGAGATTATAGATGTGTGCCAGTGTGCCTGGCCACATTCATTTTTTTAAACACAGACTTCCATGTCCCTCTCCCACTTGGAACCCTCCGTGTGTTCCTGTTGTACCTGGATCAAAGTCCAAGCTTTCTTCCATAGTGCTCCCTCTAAGCTGTACATGGCCCCACCTCCCGCTGTCTGGCTCATCACACCTCTCCTCCTTGTTTGTGCTATGTGGGCGTGTCTTTCTCGCTCTTCACTCCACTCCTGTCCAATGCCCTGCTCACTTTCCTAACCTGTTCCTGGTCATCTAGGTCTCACTTGAAGGTTACTTGTTCAGAGATCTTTTAGCCTTTCCTCATTCCAAAAATATATCCTTTCCTTCATTCTTATGTATCTTTAATGGCATTCAATCACTAAGCTAATGTAAGTTAAATAATTTAAGTCATTTAAGCTTCATCAAAACAAGAATTTTACCTTGTTCACTATTATATCAGTGTCTAGAAAGTACTGGCCCATATTTGATAATGAAACATTATATTTTATTTAATGTTAGTGTTTCTCAAAACACTAGTCCTATGACTGCTAGTCCTGTGAAAAGTGTATGGGTCAAATAAGATTGAGAAATACTGCATACCATGTCCTTTTCAGGAGCTTCATATTGTACAGGAATACAAGGTAAAGACCCTGAGGTTGCACGTGTCAAAACTAGAGAGTAGAACCTTTGTAGAACATTACTAGTGTTTCACAGAAGCATTGCTCATTAAACACATTTAAAGAAATGCTAGGGACCTGACAACATAGCTCAGAGGTAGAGAGCACTTGTCAAGCATATCATGTGATGCAGGTAGAGACACGGTGTGGTTGGGCCACACAGTAAGACTCTGTTAAGGGTTTTGGTGTATGTGCTGCCAAAGTGATCACTGTAAAGGGTTTTGGAATTCACCATTGTATGATCCTAGGGGTGAAATTTTAAAGGTTGTGGGGATTAATCCAACCAGAGAAAAAAGTTTTATATGTACCTATGAATATTGCTACCTGGCCAGTTTGTTAAGTAATTGGAAGCTAGAGCACTTCTAGTAATTTTAAATAAAGTAAATAGAAAATAAACCAAAAAAATCAAACTACAGATTTAGTTTGGCTTCAAAACCCATTGAAGGTTTAAGAAATAGACTGCTAGTTTATTTTTAGTTTTATATTTTAATGTTGTCTGCCCTTTAGGCTGAAGCATCGCACTGGTTCAGGGAGTTGTGTTGTTATTTTGTATGTACTGTGGTGGGCAGGGGAGACCCTGATAGAAGCTAGAGCAGTTGCTCTCATCTTTGGCTGTGTGTCAGAATTATCTGTTTAAAAAATATAGTTACCTGGGGCCCACTGTAGATCTTCCTAATCAGAACTTCTAGTCCAGTGTTAGGGACTTTTGAAGTCAGGAGATTCCTAGTTATCCAACGCAAGACAAGTTGCAAAATATACTGCCAAGCCAAATAATTATGACTTTTTCTATTAACCCTGATGACTCAATCCCATGAACATCATAATCAAAACTGATTGTACCCCATCCAGGGATATAGCTCAGTGGGGCCGCCACCTGCCTCCAAGTGCAAGGTCCCAAGTTCGATCCCCAGTACCAAAATAAAGCAAAACAAAACTAATTGTACCCTATTTCATTCATGGCCATTATATTTATGTATGTGTGTGTAATGTGTACCTCATTACATTTTTGACAATTTAAGTTGTGTGCATGTGGTTCTGGGGATTTAACTCAGGGCCTCACATTTGCTAAGCATGGGCTTTGCCACCAAGTTGTATTCCCAGCCCCTGAATTTGTTTATTTTCAACTGAAAATAGAGACAGTTTTTTTTCTTTCCATATGTATACCTTTCATTTTCTTTCTCTTGCTGTGTTTCACTCACTAAATTGAGGCATGATGTTGAATAAGACCAAGTATTCTTGTTTTGTTCAAGATCTTAGGGGCATTGTTTTAGGTTTTCATAATTAAGGGTAATGATTGCTGCAGAATCTTTGAGGATATCTTTTATCAGATTCAGGTGGTTTTCACTAAATTCTTTTAAGAAGAATTTGGATTAGATTCTAGTTTAGACTTTTAAATACATTTTTTGGTCCCCCCTGCCTTTCTGGAACCAAGGATCAAACCCAGGGCCTAGCACTAAATGTGTAATTTTATTATTATATACTTTATAGCACTTTTATTTTATTTTCTAAGTAATTTACTTTCACCTATGTTACATATTTAAGATTGTGATGTTTAAGAAGATGTGTGATGCTTGTTTTATTTGTACTGCTTATAACAAAATCATCGTGTAGTTTCAAAGTTATTTTTTTTTTTTTAAATTAGGGGAAAAAAGCTTAGGTTTTATTTCTCATAAGACTGATCTTTTCAAACAGGGTCAGATGGCATACACACATGCCTGTAATCTGAGCATTTGGGAAGCTAAGGCAAAGAGGATTGCAAGTTCAAGGCCAGCTGTATTATATAGTGAGTTCAAGGCCAACAAGCACCACAAGCGAGACTCTGTCTCAAAAAACAAAAACCAAAAAATGATTGGACCTGTTCATATTCAAGACAAAAACTGGTTTTCATAGGGATGATAAATAATGTTGGTTAGAGAATTAAATTTAAAATATATACTTTTGTTTTATCTAGCCAAACGTCTAAAGTCTAGTACCAGTTTTGCAAACATTCAAGAAAATTCAAACTGAAACCTACAAAATGAAGATGCTACATCATATCACATGGATAAGTGATGGAAGACACAACTTGTTCAGAAAGAAGAAAACTGATCTAGGGCTGGGGATCTAGCTCAGTGGTTCAGTGGCCTGCCTTGCAAGCGCAAGGACCTGAGTTCAATCCCCGGTACCAAAAAAAAAAAAAAAAAAAAAAAA